AGAAGACCTAGGTCTAAGCACTCACCCCGGAGGTCAAGAATTGACAGCATATTGGAGGTGCTGTAAACTTTTACCATGCATTTGTTCCTAGGTTCTCAATGATTGATGATGTTAGTACAATCAGGGAGTCAGTGAAATTGAGCCATGGGACCAGGAAGGCAGCCCCTGCTGCCAGTCATCCTAAGAGGACACCAGCATCTTTCCTGTTCTGAGGCTGTCTATACACAGAGAGAGCCAGGACCTTTGTTATCCCAGACCAGCCTTTATATTGTGACTGCAGAGCAGATTGTGTTGACAGATGTTGAGAGCTTGAGAAGTGAGATTTATTCCTGGTACAGTGGTATGGTTTCACAGACTGTAGCGTTCCAGGGAGGTTTTCCTTTCTGTCTATGTTTATGTTCCCCTGTATTGTTTTCATTTAAGATTACGTCTTGCACAATGGATCATGTAAGTAGCCCGCCTGAGGTTTGGGGCTCAGAGAATGTTGGAAGGTTTGGTCAGTGATGACTCTGTCATAAGGACTATCGTAGCTATATTTTTGACAGTGCTTCCTGACCTCTCTCCTATTCTCTGGCATGTCTGTACCAGAGGTTTTGGGACATTGAGAGACAGAAACTCTTAATGGGGAACTGAATAGGAAAAGGCTCTTTGGTCACTGAAGGAGGCAGTTGTGAAAGCCCAGCAACTATGATCACCCAAATCCTTCAGATTTGTACTTTGTGGAAACCAATAACTATATTAGCCCAGCCTTTGGTCTCCAAAGGTCTGACAAGAAATAATAGATGTGATAATAGTCTGTTTGAGAGATTGGTGGGAGGAGAAGAGGGAGAGGCTCAAGACCAAGAATGTGACATTGATGTATCGGGGAGGGAGGAAGGACCAAATTGGGAACATGTATAACTTGCTATAACTTCTGTTAATTAATGTTGGTGGAGAGAAATCATGCTAGGCTGAGCAGGGAACAGTTGGCCATCAAACCTACCCTGGGAAACCTGACAATACTACTTAGAGAGGGGATATGTCACTTTCAGGAGTGTGCTGGAGCCAGCTCTAACCAGCTCTCGGGAGTCAGTTGTTAATCTTTTATTGGGGTCATTTATACCTTGGAAACTGGGAAATATTACAAATCAAGGCTTGATTTATTGTCTTGTTGATTATATTAGACTTAAAGTGATGAAGCAAATGCTAATGATTCAGATTAAACTTAAAAATTGGAGCCAGTTGTTAAACATTTACTAGCATATCCCTGGTTATGATCATTACTGATCGCAATAATTCAATTTGTTTGAAGCACACTTATGTTTCTTTGGGGTTCCATGCTCAGGGGATGCTCCTGTTTTTGAGAATTTTCTTTCAAAGGATCCTCGTGCTTAGAGTAAAGAGTATGTTGGCTTTATTTAGTGGTTTAGATACTGGCAAAGGAGGGACAGCTGTGCATCTGAGGCTCCTCGGTGTGTGGAAGGAGTTTTGGTAAATAATACAGAGAGAGGAGAATAAGTCTGCATGAATGAGAGTTGTTTGGGGGCTTAGAGCCTTGGTCCATTGAGATGAAAAAATTAGTACATGTGAGGCTTGGTGTTGGAAACTCAACTGGTCTATAGGAATGCAGTGTGAGTTTAAGGGCGTGCAGTGGTTTGTTTTTCTCTGTTGTAGGTCCTGGTGTTCTATTATGATGCCAGCATTGTTGAGTAGTGATAAGAAAGCGTGGTTAGGGACCAGCCAAGATAGTGGAGCAGCAGGAAGAAGCAGAGCCAAGTTCTGTCTACATAACTATTTCAAAAAGATTTTGAAAATTACACCAGACCGAGATTACACCAGACTGTAATTGAGAAATATAAGAGAAAAAAAATCATAGTTGTTTTTTTCCAGCCCAGGTCACCAGGGAGACACAAAAGAGTTCCTGTATAAAAACAGGGTCTAGCCAGGAGTGGCACTGAGGAGCATTCCAGTACAGAGACTGAAAGAGGGCTGAAGCTGTGTATCAGAATGAGAAGAATTGAGAAAATCTGGAATAAAGGGGCTTGATGTTGCCGGGAGCAGTAAGAGGTACCAAATGGCAGCTGTCACGTACTGCTTAGTCCTAGGTCATAGATTCAGTGTGGACTGATTAAAGGACTTTTACTGGGGTGAAAATTGAGAAATGGAATAGTCATGGGCTTTTTGCTGAGCTAGGAGCAAGTACAGAAGTGAATGGAAGCTATGTGACTCTGATTCCAGGGCAGTGCAAGGTCTCAGATCCAGCCCCTAGTCCGATCTGAATCCTGCAGCAGAATAACCAGGTCAAGAAGCCTAAATCACGGGGGAGGCTTCTGTTTTGTCACTTTGAACATGCAGAACTTTCCAGCTGGATGATGGAGTCTGGAAGCAGTTTAGTGGAGCTCCAACCAGGGGTAAGTCTGCAGATGTGTCACTCATATCTACACCCAGGCCAGGAGTTTGCAGAGCTCACACCAGGAGGGCAGTGCACTGAAGGCTTGCAGGTCCCCATCCTGAGCTTTCCCTGAGATTCCAGTATGATACAACATTCATTAGCCAGAGAAAGTAACAGTAGCCAAGAGGACACAAAACAGAACTGAGGACAGCCCAGTCATTACCTCTAGAAGGGCCCTGGCTCTCCCACAAAGCCTGAAGTCAGACAGTAAGGTTGAAAAGGAGCCATCATAACGTCCTGAGTGCGGGTCATCTCGGAGTGAGGTTAGAACAACTTCATCTGCCGACATCATTGGCGTCTGGATTGGATACATGATGATTGGTATGCTGTGTGTGAACATGATTGAAACTGGTAACATGAAGACTCGAATTCTTCTGCATTTGGAAATTCCCCATGTGGCCATATTGCCATCCAGGCCTAAATTCTGCTGCAGCTTTGACCTAGTCTCATAGAAATAGTACTATGTGCGACTTTTCAAATAGGCGCCACTGATTTCTTGCCGGAAATTGACTGAAATGTCTATAGGAGTCTTGTTCTTCAAGGAGTAAATCTGGCTGTGATTTTTCCTGGCAGAGGTTGTTTCCACTTAGAGGTTGCATTTCACGGCTAAGTTTTGGAAGGTCCTCCAGATTCTGTTAGAAATGGAGGTGCTCTTTACAACAGTCTACCACTCAATAGGCCAGGGGACATGTGGAGAAAGCAAATGTGGAGGAGGTCTGCTTTTGTTACTTTTCTGTGGAGCATTTGCAACGGAACTTGATATATATCTACTTGGTAATTTTTTTTTTAAAGAAGAATGTCATTCTCCTTGCCCCAGGGAAGTTCTCATTTCAGGTAGGCCTTAGAGGATAGCTCCTACCTTTGTCTTGTCAGTGTTCTGAAGCTCTAGTGACTGACTGCCTTGGCATAGGAGACATGCGCATTCCATGGCCCCAAATCCAGAGCACTCTGCTGTGATCGTGAGACTGGAGAAAACAGCACAGGAACAGCCAAAGAATAAAGGCCCCTTATTGGACCCTGGAGGCCAGATCCACATCCATATCTCAGTACGGAGACCCTCACAGGGTCTGGACAATAAGTCCTTAGACTCATTAATGATTGCCAAGCGTTGCAAACTGTTCACATCTCCTGCCTCAAGTCAATCTTTGTATGATGATAGGAATGACAAGCTCCCATTTGTGTGGGGTTGCATGAAGAATTAGGAGGTCCCTCATGCCGTGGATTGTACATAATAGCTTTACTTTGATGCAAGGAGGATTAGTGTTTCATGTATTAACACCAGGAGATATGGCTTGAGGTGCTCCTGCACATGTAAGTTTCCCCAGCTTGGTCATCGGGCATCGCTACATGAAGTAGCCATTTCAGTCACTGGTCAAATTACTGAGTCAAAACATCTGGTCAGAACACCGAGCTGGACTCAAAACTTGGACTGTCAATCTTTCCTTCTTGGTGCCTTCATGAAATGCCAGTTCCCCAAGGCCTTGGTTTTTCCCAGGCTTTCCTTGGCTACCAAATTGGGTCATGAATATAATTACTCATAAATATTTCGTGGCTCAGGCCCTTTTCCACTGAGATTCAATTACCTCGCCCCCTTTGCATGAGCCCTGAAAGGGTCACTCATTCATATTTAGTTTAAATGGATTCTTGTCACAGTGAAGAAGACATCAACAGCATCAGCTTTAAAACTTCTCAGAAGGGGGTCATATCTCGTTCCCAGGAAGGTCTGAAACTTCAGTTTCTGCTGCCCAGTTTTCTACCTGTGTTGTTCTTCAGACATTACCACAGACTTTCTTGGTAGGGCAGTTTAACCACCACGCCTCCCTTCCTCCATAAGGCATTTTTGTCTTAAAGATAACAGATGTGGGGTGGTCTCTCTCTTACCACCATTCACTCCTGAAATAATTGCCACTTGCTACCATTTTAAGTTCCTTAGGGTCCTTTTAGCTACCAGATAGATGAAGTCGCTGATAGATTGTTCATAGACTAGTCACCAGGGGTGAGACGGCCAGGTGCCATCTCGGTGTATTCCCTTACTGGTCTCTGGCATCTCTCTGGCGTTCTTCTCCAAAGCCCAGTGATTCGTTAAGTGTCTCCTACATAGAGGTGTCTTGGAATGATCTCAGGAACTGTTTGAGGAATCCTAAGATTAGCAAAGTCAGTAAGGGCTCTAACTTAGCTGAGAAGCCTTAGCGAGCCTCTGTGCATTCCTTTTGTCTGTGTTTTGGCTGATTACCCTACCTTCTGGGAATGGCAGGAGTGGGGGGAGCATGGCCTTGGTGCTCCTCAGGGATCGTGTCAGTCTGTGACAGTGGCCATGCCATTCCATCCCCCTAGAGCCAGGCATGTTCCACCTGTGGAAGGGTTTGAGATGTCCTGGGCATCAGGATCAGCAGACAGCTGTGTGTCCAGCTGAGTCCATACTTCCCTCCTAAGACGGCTGCCCTGCTGGGAACTGGGGACAAATGACAAAACCAAACTGGAAATCCCTTCGTAAAGGTAGCCGTTTGTTCCCATCTCAGACCCTACTGCTAACCCTGCCTGCCTCAATGGTGTCCCCTTTGACTTCTAGGTTTGTGGTCTACACCAGAACCCCCTACATACTTCTGGGAGAAGGTTCATCCCCCTGGGGAGCGCCGGTCACCTCGGTACTCTATAGGCTACCGCTGTCCATATCGTGTATCTGATCCTAACCCAGCCCCTAACTATTACCCGCAGCCCCGACGGCTGGGGTACGGCACCCCTGTTAACCATTCTGCCCCATGCTACAGCTTTGCTTCCACTTCTGACCCTTGGTATTTCAACAAGGATATCTACAAAAGCCCTGGCCCGGCCATGCATACCAGGCCTGAGCCATCAGTTTACCAGAACCGGAGCCCTGTCTACTCCATGGGCAAGCTCTTTGGGTACCCGCGTGACCAGACAAACTACCCAGGTCCTGGTTCCCATGAGGTGCAAACAGTCACCATTCACAAGCCGCAGGCACCTTCCTTCTCTATGGGCATCAAACACTCACCTCACCTCACTCCACTGATTGTGGATGTGAAGGACTGACCCTGCCCTTCCCCTTTCCCACCTCACCTTGAGTCTTTTCCTCCTTCCTCCTCATGATTACAGGGCAGGAGTAGAAGGGGCCTTCTTAGATTGTTTTCCCAGAATAATTTTATAGCCCATCTTCAAGCCATGCTGTGCCTGGTGCCAGTTTATTTCTGGGCATCTCTCAGGTTATAGCCCCTGCCCAATTACCCCTCTCAATTAGGTAAGAGGGATCTCCTTTCCCCCTCAAAATGTATGTATTTTTTCCTTAAATAAAATTGATCTTGGGACAGTGGCAGAAATAGTCTCATTGAGTGCCTAGCACACAGAAGACCCTAAATAAAGATTAGTTGAATGAATAAAGGAATGAAAGGGTGAATAAATAAATGAGTGAATGAGTGACTGGGTGGAGTAGATGAGTGAATGGATTTGAGTAAGGCCAAGCACTTCACTCCAGGGTTCAATATTTGATGATTACTGTCCATCTCCTCCTTGTGCCTCCCCTTTCATTGATTATATTGGTCTGAACCCAATCTAGACAGACCTTTGCAGAAGTGTGTGTATTTGTAGGGGTTTGTGTCTATGCACATAAAGGAGCAGCAAATGTATGCGTGCATGTATGTGCATTTGCATATGGTGTATTAAGTATGGGTCTGCACCTGTGTGTGTCTCTAGGGCTAGCTTGGGGCAAAGTTGGGAAGTCCTGTCCTTGTTTTCCTGCTTTGAATTCCCTCTCCCCTCTGTTCTCCCTTAAGGGCCCCTTGTCTGAAAAAAGTCTCTGACAAGCTTCTTCCCCTTTACCCAGGCCCTTTCCTGGGTTTTCCCAGGATTCTGGGATTCCACGATGAGACCCACCATGAGGACAGGTTTCAGGATCAGGGATCCTGGAGAGGACAGGACTGATCTGAAAGGGAGAAAATTCCAACGGGAGGGGGGATTATCCGGAGAGGTAGCTGGTACATGTGCAGTGGGGCATTTGGGGGCTTCCTAAGGCTCTTTTGTGGGGTTTCTGGGGGCCAGCCTCGCCTGCCTCACCATAACTTTCCTCAACGTATACGACTGTCCTTGGCCTCATGTGCCAGATTGGCAAACTTGGCTAGTGCTGCAAGAACCGGGGCCTGGCACTGTCTATGAGAAGCACCAGGTGTGCCAATTCTTTCTCCAAGAAGTGGCAGCTTCACCCTTCCCTCGCTGACCGTGTAACCGGGTCCCAAAGTCCATTGTTTCAGGACTCTCTTCTCCGGGTGGAGATCAACGTCCTGCATGTGGGTGAGGGGTGGGGTGGAGTTGGAGAGATGAGAGTGTCATTGACTTTCTCGGAGTTTCCTCAGTCTATTCAGGGCTTGACAGGTGCTTTGGGGATTTCTGGCTTCCAGCTTTGAGAGAGAAGATGGACGATTCCAACCCCACCTCAGCTTGTCTGAAGGGAGAGGAAGACCGGGAAGAAGAGGATGTCAAAGAAGCCGGGAGTCTCCATCATGTCCCTACCCCCAGCTGGCCACAACGAGACTTGGGGAAATTTCCTCTTGGGTGAGATCTGGGGCACTCTGTTGGCTGAGCTGAGTTACCTTGTTCTCCATAGAATACATGCCAGATTTTTCTCCACTCTATCATCTGGCATGTATTCTATGTAAACTTTCTCTGATTTCTTGCTATCAACTCTTTTTTTCTTTTCTTTTTTCTTTCTTTTTGGCTAGGCAATGGGGTTAAGAGACTTGTCCAAGGTCACACAGCTAGTGTCAAGTATCTGAGGCTGGATTTGAACTCAGGTCCTCTGACTCCAGGGCCAGCGCTCTATCCACTGCATCACCTAGCTGCCCCTTTTTCATTTTCTGATTTTTTTTTTGCTAGACAATGGGGTTAAGTGACTTGCCCAAGGTCATACAGCTAGTGTCAAGTGTCTGAGGCCGCATTTGAACTCAAGTCCTCCTGACTCTAGGGCCAGTGCTCTATCCACTACACCACCTACCTGACCCTATCAACTTTGATAAATGGTTTGTTTGTTTTTTTTTTGCTACTTGCTGTGTGTGTGTGTTCATTGTGGAACTGGTATTTGGCGGGAAGGGAGTCCTGCTTTCCCCATGAATGAAGAATGATCAGGAATTTAGCTTGAACCAGAAAATCACATCCTCTAGATGAATGCTGTTTAAGAGAGCAGATAGATAGAATTTTAACCTACTAGTGCCTCTCTCTGAGAGGAGCAAAGTGATCATTTCTGGCTCCAACCCTCTGCTTCTCCTGGCAGGAAATAAAAGTCCCCCTTCAAGAAAGGTGGGGCGGAGAGAGAAGAGGCTGGGGATGTCTATTATTGCTTTCCTGTGCGCCATACATGAAGCCTCATGCTACACCTGTATGGAGCCTCTCACCAGTTCCTTCCACTTCTGTTTCTTCTCCTTTGCTTCCCTCCCCCCGCCCCGATTTCCTTTTTCTCTGAGCTGGTGGTTCTGTGGCTAGAGCACTGCACCCAGAGTCACATAGACCTGAGTTCAAATCTGACCTCAAACCTTTACTGTGCGACCCTGGGCAAGTCACTTAATCGCTGTCTGTCTCAGTTTCCTCATCTGTAAAATGAGGATAATAACACCTACCTCCCAGGGTTGTTATGAGCATCAAATGAGACAATCTTTGTAAAGTGTGCGCTCAGCATAGTGACTAGTATTCACTCAATAAATGCTAATTCCTTCTCCTTTCTTATATATGTATTTTTCCTGTTTCTGATTATCTCTGGACCTCTTGTTCATTCATGTGTCTCTTTTTCTCTGGATCTCTATCTGTCTCTTGTAAGTTTCTTTTTCTCTGACTTGACTTCACTCTGTTCTGTGTCTTAGCCTGTCTCTGTCTGTGTCCATCTCTCTGCCTCATTTCCAGTCTCTTTCTGTCTGTGTGTGTCTTTGTGTCTCCTTCTTTTTCTCATTTTCACTCCTCTCTCCTGTCTCTACCATTTTCTTTTTCTGACTCTCAATCTCCTGTCTCCGTTTTTGGCGTTGTCCTTCCCTCCTCCTGGGGGATGGCAGGAACCTGAGAAGAAGAGAATTTCTGTGGAAAGAAGGGACCTTGGTATCTCTGCTTAGGGTCTGAGGAAGGGCAAATACTTGAGTTAACATGAAAGATTAGGAATTTGACCCCAATGACAGTCACATCCCCCTACCACTGGTTGATTTGGGAGGCACAGAGCTACAGAAAGTTGAATTAGCTAGCTGTATGACCTTGGATAAGTCATTTCCCTTCCCGTGGGCTCCAGTTTTCCTATTGTAAATTAGGTTATTGGACTAGATGGACACAACACTGACTTTTTAAAATTCAATTTCATTTTCAGTTCCAAATTCTATCGCTCTCCCCTCTTCTTCCCCAACTCATTGAGAAGGCAAGAAAAATAAAAATCATTATAAATATGTATAGACATGCAAAATAAATTTCCTCATTAGCCATGTTCCAAGAAAAAGAAATAGAAGAAAATTTGCTTCAATATGCACACCGAATCTATCAGCTCTCTCTCTGGAGTTAGAAAACATTTTTCATCATGAGTATTGGAATTGTGGTTAGTCATTATGTTGATCAGAAGTACTAAGTTTTTCCAGGTCTATTATGTTTACAATATTGCTGTTACTGTATGTAATTGTTCTCTTGGTTCTGCTCACTTTAATCTGCATCTGTTCATATAAGTCTTTCCAGGCTTTTCTGAAACCATTCCCTTCATAATTTCTTATTAACAGTAGCATTCCATCACATTCATATTCCATAATTTGTTCAGCCATTCCCCAATTGATAGACATCCCCTTGGTTCCCAAGTACCAAATTGTTTTGTTTTTTTTTTTTTGAGATCTGGTACTGCTAAGCCCCCTTCCTCTCTGTTTTTTTTTTCATTGATTTCCTTGATATTCTTGAACTTTTGTTCCTCCAGATAAATTTTCTTATCATCCCTCCCTCCCCAGAAGCCAACATTTTGGAGCTCAATTCTGTGGGCACTGACTCCCTTCCTTCTCATCACCTGGAACCCAAGAAGCCTAAGCAACAAATGAGGACTATGGGGGATCAAGACACTAATGGGCCTATTCCCTTGCAGTGATCTTTTCTGGGAGCTCCATGGTGCCTAGGTGACCTTGGGAGTCAAGTTGATGGTTGGGCAAGAGGAGAAAGGGAAGACAGAGGAAGCTTAAACTTCCATTTATTTTACCTGTAGTGACTGAGAGTCAAGTGGAGAGATAAGGCACAAGGGTACCCTAATTTAGGTATGAAGATGGTTTCTTCTGTGAGATTCCTCTCTATCCCAATATTTCTCACCTTCTCTATCTACTTTGATCACTTACCATCTCTTTTTAGGTTTGAGTTTCTCCTTGTTGTGGGCCAGGGCATTGGTGGAACTGGGGGTGGGGAATGAGTGAACTCCAGATACTCCCGCAATTGCAGCCAGCACAGTGTAAGCAAAGGAAGTTAACTTTGTCCTCAAGTAGACTGATTTGGAACTTAGAGGAGGAGAATGAAAGTAGTTTGGAAGATTTTGCCAGGGAGTTCCTGAACCTCTGGGCTTGCTGCTTTTTAACCTTCTGGCCAGACAGCTTTTATTTATCTTTATCCCTTCAACTTCTTGTAAATTCCCTTGAGAATTTCTTCCAGCTGAGGGTGTTGGAATATGATTTTAGTAAAAGAACTATTTGTTTAAGCCTTCTGGCTCTGAGTGATCCATTGTATCAGATACAAGACAGCAGCCCCAACGCTCCTCAAATTCCATGCCCTTCCTTTCTCTCTGACTTTTTGTATCTCTCTGTCTTTCAGGCTTTCCGTGTCCCTGTCTGAGTCTCTCAGTGTTCTTTTCATTGTATGCTTCATATGCATTCATAAATTTGGCTTTTTCCTATAGATACTCAGTCCCTAAGTCTGAATATCATCCCACTTCCTGGTACTTGGCCCCTACCCATGATATTCCCAATTACTGATTATTGAGGCCCTCCTCCTCCCTAGGATTCATTTCCAATTCCTAATACTCCACCATCTCTGATACTCTCACCCCTGGTTCTCAGTCCATATCCTTGGCACTCACCACCATACCTGACATTGATCTCTCCATCCCTGACCAGCCCCATTCCTAATACCCAGACCCTCCATCTCTAATATACCTATCCCTCATGGTCTCATCTCATCCCTGAGAATCTTATTTCATTCCTGGGTCTCCTTTCCCATTTCTGATATTTACCTTCGCCCTTGGTATTCAGCCCCTGATCTCTGGTACTTATTCCTTCTATTTCTGATTGATAGTTCTGCTGGGCTTGCACCTGGGCAGAACAC